GCGGAAAATGGGCAGGAAAGCTTCGAAGCCAACCGTACCTTTTTTTTTCTTTTTTTTTCCTTTTACGAGGCAAAGAGTTGATTGTCCCGCAAATCTTTTAATACCTCGTCGCGTGAACTTTCCCGAAACAACTTCCTTTATCCACGCTCGCGACCGATAAAAATGCCAACTGCGGGAAAACATTTCCCCCTCCCTCCTCCCCCGGATAAAAGCTAACCTGTCCGTGAAACGAATCGAATCGTCGTTTCGCGAGAAAACGGGCGGAATTCAATGTTGGCTGAGGAAAAAAAAGAAAAAACTTGGTTGAGAAAAATTATTTATAAAAAAAAAAATCTTCTCTGGGTATATAATTCTTTAGAGATTCCCGTTTCCCCCTCCTGTCCAAGAAGAAATATATAATTCTTCTTCTTCTTATCCTGTCCATTTATTCGTAAATTCGTATTTCGAAATAATCGCGAAAATGCTGAGAAATTCGATAGTTGTTTCGAAGCGGATTCTCGAAATGGATTTACTCGTGGAACGCATCGTGAACCGATCTGTTTCACGGAATTCGGCGTATCGTATCCTGTTAAACGACGTTGCACGCCAAACGTGTGCTGTTGTTTTACAACCGATAATTTCATTCCCCGATTTCATGCCGCACTCGTGTTATATTTTCCGTAGAGAAAAGATTCTTGTGCTAATTCTCGTCCCAACCTCGCCCTTTCCTCCGCCACGTTTTCAACTATGCAATGTACATTTTTTTTTTATTTTTCTTTTTTTTTTTTTTTTTAAACGAGGCAACCTGCGCTAGTTTGCATGACGCGAACCGCATGCATTGTACGCGACGCATGGTGCGCGACAATGCACCATCCGCAATGTTCAGTTACACGAGTAATTTGACCGTGTAGCTCGCACAGTTTCGCGCATATTTTCTTCCACCCTGTGGTTTCGCGATAGCGCGAAAATAGGAGGCCAAAAGAGCCGAAGAGAACTTTCGAAAAAAGGGGGAACAGAGATGACTTGACTCGAGAGGAGAGGAATTATTGACGAGAAAGAATGCTCCCGGTTCCAGGGCTCTCGTTTCTTTTTATTTCCTTTCTGATACATCCTGCTCGTCCTATTACCGATTTCGATTCGAAAAAATGGGACACGCGAAAACGAGATTTTGCAAAAAAAAAAAAAAAAAGAAAAGGTCTCGTTCGTTTCGCGGTTACTGCGGGAGGATAAAAAGAATAGAAATAATTATTCGAAGTGCAATATATATATATCAAAAAATAAAAAAAAAAAAAAGATTCTATCTAAATTATGAAAATATATCCCTTGAAAAAGAAGGATCTTTCTGAACAAACGTGTAACGTTTGCCCATGGCATGATATAACTTAATTAACATACCGGCGTAATGGAACTCGGACATCGATCCCTGATTCTGTTCGAAAGCAAGCTTGAAAAGTCAAAGCTGAAAGGATGAATCGCGTGAAATCGCAAAGGGCAAAACTACATTCCACGGAGGACGTAAATTATAATATATCGGATGGATGGAAATTTATGGAAACCGTAGCTCGATATTTTTATGTAGCGATTTTTTTCTCTTTTTCTTTTTTTAATTTATCTCAGCCAAAGAAAATCGTATCGCAAGAATTGAAAATTTTCCTAAACGCTTTCTAATCGGATCAAGGATCAGGGCAATCGTCGAAACACGTGTATATCACGTTGATGCGAGATAAAAAGTTCGATAGATGTCGTGATAGGAATTTCGATGCAACGATGTATGTTTCTCTATCCTTCGGATAGATTTAAAAAGTGAGCGTTACAAGACCTAAGCTAGAGAAATCCTCGAGAACACCTGTTGATCGTTCTCGTTAAAGTTTGAAGGAACCGACCTGGACTAGCCTGGACACGCGAGCTGAAAGACGATTGCTGCTGACGTAGGAAAAAAAAAAAAAAAAAAAATTGGCGATATTTCCTCACGAGCGAATTTTCCCGCCTCGTCACGGTATGCATACCAATTTTCAACGCTTATTTTTCCATTTAACCTTTCACTCGAATTTATATTTTTCATTCATCAAACGTTAACTCGAATAATTGAATTCAAATGTTCGAATCGAAAATTTAAATTCATAAATTTAAGCCCGATTTTTTTTTTTTTCTTTTTTCAATTGCAACGTGATTAAAACAACTTTCGATAATAATACCACGTTTCATTTCCTACATTTTCCTGTAGTGACGTTCTCGTCCCAAGATGAGGTTTAATTTATTTAAAATATTTAACAATAGGGCCATTGTATATATACATATATTTTTTTTCCCCTCCTCTCACGATGCCCCAATAATTTTTATCAACGGGCGTATACGCTCGCTCTTTCCGTGTTTTATCGAAAAATACGTGGAAAGGGTAAACGAAGTGTAACAAACGGCGATGCAGCTTTTTTTCGAACTCGAAAGCGAGCAGCGAATACCTTCACACGAATCGAGAAAAAGGAATCGGGGATAAGAGCTTACACCGTTCGATACATCCTATATTCGAAATACCCCGACGTTCGGTCGAATATTTTGTCTGTGAAAAAAAATCGCGCGCAAGAGAACGTGATTTTTTAATTCGAGGTAATAAAAATACGAAAATGTTTTACGATGCGAAAGCTGTCTCAGCAAGTTGGAAAGGAAAGGAAGGAATCCACGTCCCCGTGGTTTGATCAATCTCGTATCGGTAAAGGCGTTATATATTTAACGGAGCGCGATTAAAATTATAAATCAAAAGCCGCAAATGAAAATACGAATTGAGGGGGAAATGGAGGGAGGAGCACGCGGGAGAAAAAAGACAGAGGGAGTGATTTAAATCGCGATAATTAACGAGGAAAACGCCGCCCTATTATAATTTCATCGGGAAAATCGCGTACGTTCATACGTACGAACGTTCGAGTAAAATAATAATTATTCTTTAACGAAGCTTATTCGATCCCCATGCGTTCACACCATTGGAAAAATCGGTTAATCAATCGAGCCTTTCCTTTCAATTTCACCGAGATCAATTCACGATTTCACGCGATTGAAAATCCAAAATATTGCCAAAAAAAATCTTGTTTCGTTTCTTCTTGAAAAATCATTATCAAGAACTCGCACGTGCTGATCATCATCGCGCGATCAGAAGGAACGCCTGTGTTAACTCTTTTAAAGCGGCCTTCCTTTCAATTTCATCGAGATCAATTCACGATTTCAGGCGATTAAAAATCTAAAAATCTTGTTTCGTTTCTTCTTGAAAATTTAAAAATCATTATCAAGAACTCGCACGTGCTGATCGTCATCATCGCGCGATCAGAGGGAACGCCTGTGTTAACTCTTTTAAAGCGGCTGAATAGCCGTTGCCCTCGAGTGATTCCTGTTCCACGGACAGACAGAGAAAGAGACAGAAAGAGAGAGAGAGAGGGAGGAGAAGGAGAGAGTTGCAAAAGAGCGCACTCTGATTCATCGATCCTTTTTCGCGTCTACTAAATTTCAGATTGAATCACGATTGATCAGATTGAATCAAAGTCATGGCGGATGGGGCCACGGTTCAGAGAGGTGTTTCACGCGTGTTCAACGCGGCGTATTCGACGACATTCAACGGCCACCTAACAACTCACCGGACCACCGGCTGCGTAACTAAGATTACGCTGACTGTCAGCTGTCTGCGTCCGAAAACGAAATGAAAATACCATTTGACACGGATTTTGCTTCGAGAGCAGAAAATAGAGGAAGACAGAGAGAAAGAGAGAAAGAGAGAGAGAGAAAGAGAGAGGAGAGCGAGATCTTTTTCCAGAAGCGGACAGATCGAATTTTTCCATTGCTCCTGCATACCACCATCGCTACTACCCTTATTAATCCAAATACCTCTACTAAGAGACAATAAAATTCGACGAATCGAATTATATCCACCCGGGAATAATTAATATTTTCGAAACAATATAGATTTTTTTCCCGAACAATGTCAATTAAGATTAAAAAAGGAGTAAGAAATAATTTCGAATAATTGAAAACGGGGTTAATAAGAGAATTATTTAAAATGCTCTTATATTATACGTTAATCTTATCTTATCTTACCCCTTTGTTATAAATATTTCCCGCAAAATCCATTGCGTTATTTCTTTCTTTTAAGAGAAATCCTAATTAAGACGTAATAAGAAACGTATTTATCCTTCGTGGAGAAGATTGAAGGAAATTTGAAGGGGAATTTAATCCGCGATACTTGGGATCCCGAACTTGTTTCCCGTGGAAGCCTGCATTTTTGAGAAATTAAAGGCAAACAGAGAGAAGGACGCCTCTCTCGTCGATTTCGCGGTCTCTTCTTGTTTGAGAAAAGGGTGGAAAGGATCGGTCACTTTAATTCATAAAAAAAGATGGGGAGGGAAACGGGGGGAATAGGAGTGGAGGAGGACACGAGTGATGCAGAAGAAATTGTCGAGGGAGACTTTTCGGGGGAGGGGGTTGGTGCTTCTACTTCGCTGCGGATATTTAGAGAAAGCAGCGAGGCCCTTCGAGGTAAAAAGGTCGACAACGACCTCTGTTTAAAAATATCACTGCTGGAGACTGCTGCTTGTTCCAGCTTGGGGCGGTTTACACGGAGCCAATTACTTTCACAGATGCACCCGTTACTTCTGTTTCATTCGACACACATCTAGAAGCTACGAGTTACGCGCCTCGGCCATCTCGAGATACACCTTTTGTATTTCCAATAATGTTGAAATTCGATAATAAGGAAGAAAATCGTTATGCCTTTTTATTAAGAGAAAAGAAAAGGAAAGGAAAGGAAAGAGAAAAATAAATAAAAACAGAGGCGAGTTGTTTCGAAACGTAAAAGAGAACGAGAGGAACGCGATATCTAAACTCGATCTTAATAATCGAATAATACGTCACGAGAAAGAATTTTCACCAGTCACGTGAGGCGAAAATTTTAACCACGGCAGGCACAAGATACGCGGCGAATAAATTGATACACGAGGAAAGAAGAAAGAGAATTGGGAAGAAAATGGAATGAACGAACTCACCCTAATGTGGTCATCGTGACGATCGTGTACCAGAACGCGGCAGGTATCGAGGTGAAGTTCGTTCCATCGACGTTCTTCTCCGCGTAGAACATCACGGTTGCGAATATGATGATCGCCATTGCGAGGGAGAAGACGAGGAAACCGAGCTCCGAGGCGCACGATTTCAACGTGTAACCGAGGATCCTGAGCCCTTGCGAGTGCCTCGAGAACTTGAAGATCCGGAACACACGGAAGACGCGCAACGTAACGAAAGCACCGGATACGTCGTCGTTGTCGGTGATGCCGAGGCCGATGTAGTACGGGAGGATTGCGACCACGTCTATGATAGACATGACGGATCGCGCGAACTTACACCGGCTCGGGGCCGCGAACAGCCTCAACAGATATTCCGCGGTGAATATCATTACGCACGCGGTGTCCAGGCAGAAGAATACGATCTTGTAACGCTCGCCGCATGAAAGCGTACCGGCGCGTCCCGGACGATTACCGCACGGCACGGTCTCGACCACGTTCGCCAGCACGCTCACGGCGATGAAGAATCCTGTTACATAATAAAATACCAAAGCCGCCGTCGAGATGTGTGGATTCTGGAATGCCCTCCACATCTTTTGCCTGATGTCCGGCAACTGCTGAAGAGTTTGATCCCCGTTCTCGCTCAGCTTGTCGTCCATCAAACGCTCCGCGTTCTCGCGTTTCCTGTCCCGATAATCCTCGTAACAGCAATCGCCGATCACGTCCGGCAATATACCGAAGAACGCCAACTCCTCGTCGTAGCTCGTCAGGCATTCGTGCTTCGGATAATGAAGCTTTCCGGTTCTGTAATAGTTCAATATGTGGCGGAATATGTCTGGATCACGGTCGAAGAAGTACTCTTTGCTCTCCTCGTCGTAAAAGAACTCGCGCTCGTTCGAACCGAGAAGAGTGTCCGGATACTTCTCGAGGGTGTTCCGCCATGTCTCGAAGCGACGGCCGCTCACGTTTATCAATAATTTCTCGTCGTCGGCCTTGCGACGATCCTTGGGGATCGGCGGCGGTGGCAGTGGATGTGTGGCGATCGGCACCCAGCCAATGGCCGCCGCGGGAGCGAGCGGCAGCCATGCTGCCACCGGGGCCCTTCTTTAAGGGGGTATTGTTTTTTTTTTTTTTTCAGTTTATTTTTGTCTATTTGCATTTAACCAATCGCCGCCGCACGAGCGAACGGCAGCCATGCTGCCACCGAGGCCATGCTCGAAGGTGGAATAGTTTCCTTCCTTTCCTAAGTTTTTCCACCTTTCCTCCCTCCTTTTCCCTCCTCTACTTTCTCTTACTATTATAATTATTATTATTATTATTACTATTATTACTACTACTATTATTATTATTATTACTTCACTCCGATTACTTCTCTCTCAATGTTCCTTCTTCAATCTTCCAGTTCACCTATCATCGTCGTTCCAATCCAACAATTAATCTCTAATCTTAATTTTGTCGCGTTTTTTCGCGACCAGCATATACGATGTCACTTTCGTATCGATATCGTGATCCTCCTTTCGGTGGATTTCGATCGCATTCACAAGTCTCCCTCTCCTTTTGTTCTCGATTCCGTTCTTCGCGTCTCCCACGCGAGCTCCGCGTTTACCCGACGCCTCTGAATCGCGAGTAATCCGGCTAAAACTCGAGCGAACTCCTGGAGGAATCCCTCCTCCCCTCCCCCACCCGGAGGAGAAAAGTGTGCCGGCTCGTTCCCGAGCGGAGGCAGAGATAAATAGGTAAAAGCCCACGATGCTGATTTCGTTCCACGGATCGTTCGATCGTTAAAAATGTCCTCGACAATCTCGTCTCCGCTCGAGACCTGTCGCCATTCGAACGATCTGTCCGTCTGTATTAGCTGGTCGTGGTGCNCACCGGCAGCGTTCCCACCAGCTACGCGTCGACCACGACGACCACGACGCCGACGACGGCCACGACGACGTCGGCAATGACACCGCGATCCTAAGATCGTGCACGGCCACCAACTCCGTCATCGTACCACGGCATTCCTCCGCTTTTTTCCTATTTATTGTTTACTTATTGCCACTCGTTATTAGCAACAGCAACAGCCCCTACTACTAGCAGCAACGCAGAGTCGCGAGCACCACGACAACCAATCGTCTTCTGGCAACTTGCCCTTCACCATCATCGATACCGTTTTCCCAGTATCGTCTCTCTGTCTTCCTCCTTCCCTCCCCTCCCGCGATCGAACACGATCGAGATTCAAGATCCTCCACCTGTACTTGGTCCCCTCTTCTTGTCCCTTCTTCTATCCAGTGTTGCACCTTGTGTGTCGGGTCGAACAATCAGCAGGAAACCAATGTATCCAATGTATCCTAGAGAATTACGTCGAGACACGATCCTGCTACATCGTCGAGCACGCGGAATATAATGGAAAGAGACCGATCCTTTCCGGTTCCATTCACTCGCAACACCGGGTATCGAGGCACAGCCACGTACTCGGCAACATTTTCATGTTTCGAACCACGCAACGAATTATATTTCGATTTATTCACGGTTATTTTTCGCGACACCTTCCGTCGATCGATCCAATTATCTTTCCTAAGATAAATCGTCGTATCCTCTCTTGATCAATCCCTGTCGATCCGGGTCATCGTTGTTTTCTTCTTTCTTCTTCTCCCGGAAGAGGAACGAAGCTGGTGGTGATGGTGCTGCTGCTGATGCTACTACTTTCGTCTTTCCTCCACGGTTTCTCTCGAGAGAGTTTCGCTTTCGTAGCGTCTTCGAGATTGAAGAGGATTAAGAGGAGAAATTTTTCCAACGACGAACGTTCGACGCCTTCAACGTCGAGGGAACGAGAGGTCGAAATATATTTTCGCGGTTTCCTGTTCGACGTGGCTCGCGAGCATCGTCCGCGAAACGTTCGACGAGCAGTGAGTGGCCGTGCTGCTGATTCAGCCTGTATCGTTCTTGGCACGCGCAAGCTTTTTTTACTCGCTCGAGGCCTGTCGCGGATCACACAGCACGCAAGGACCACGCTGATTCCGTTCGTCGACGTAAACGCGTCAGGGAGCGGGGAGGCACACGAGTTAAAAGCTTCACCGGTCGCGCAGATGTTTTCCACGACGCACAGCTCTCGCGATAGACGGCACGTCGCATGCGTCACACCGTGGACTCCTTCCTCGTGACACCACAACTTCCTACGTAGAGAGCACAGCCTTTCGTTTCAACGTTCGTACATTACCATTCGGCCAGCCGTCATTTTACTTCGCCACCGGACGGATCAATCCGTCCATCTTTTCGCAAACCTCGTGTCCCACGACTCGACTCGATCGACCATCCGAGAAAAAACCGGGAAAGCTCGAAGAGAGCTGCCTCTCTCCTCGACTCGTCACGCAGCCTAACACTAATCCTTCCGAAAATTCACAAACTCGCTCGCTTCTCCCCGAATCTTTGATCCTCTTCGCGATACACTCGGATCGACCTCACCTCTGGGGAACGATTTACGAATGAAGGGAGGAAGATCAGGAAG